CCCTCTATTAGACATTTTAAAATTAACAATTTAAAATGTTATAGCATCAGTGTTAATTTTTGTCTGTCATTTGTATCCCATTAAATCACACAATAAAGCTGGCTGGGCTTATATAGCTGCATTAAAGGGGTTTTGGTTGGGCTTACATCTAGGGGAGCATATAAGTTTCAGAACGACGAGATAAATCATGTCTGAGAAACTAATTCAAGCTAACTTACCATTACATTTAGAGCTATTATTTCAAAACATCTATAAAACACTAATGTGACGGGAACAACTGGAACAGAACAGAACGAAAGTGAAAAAAACCACAAGCCTTAACGTTATCAATTTACCTATTTGCTGTGAAACGGTCCTCTAGGAAGAATTAAAGCAATTATACATTAGATGGGCTTATATCTGGGGTGTGTGTGGAGGGGGGAGGCTTAAGTTGTATATCCGGGGGCCTATATGCAGAATAGTATCTTTGTTAGCAAATAGAGGAGTTTATATCTGGAGGCTTCATAGGGGGGGGGGGGGGGGGGGGGGGGCTTTAATGAGGGATTTTAAGGTGCGCATGTAAGAACCTTTTTATCATTATCATCATTTAACGTTTTTTACCCCTCACAAGACCACAACTCAAAATACTATAACATCAAGTTGTCTGAGATTTTATTCCTGCTCGCACCATGTGCGTAGAACCCGTTTTCCTCGACAGTCGCTGCCTAGTTACATGGTAACTAAGGTAATGTGTAAGTATAACTGGTAATATTTCAACAAAAGCGTGAATCTCTCACTAGAATAATCTGCTTCAAGGAAATTCGTGTAACTTGAAACATTTCCAGAACCTGCCCTGGATTAAAATTCTTGATTGCTGCATCAAGGTGAAAACATGGTTTTCGGAAGAGAGATCTTTTCCCTCAATAAACGCCATATACAAAGCAGTTGAAATGCGTCAATATCTTACAAGTTGCTTAGAAAAATATTTACAGTTAGAGTATTTAACTACAAACTCGAGTGTTGTTGGTCAGATGTATAGGAACTTTCATTGAAAATCAACAAAACTAATCATGGATTGTTGATTTAATTAACCATCAGGTGGTTTCCCCTAGCCTGAAAACTAGAGATGGAGGATGGAGGGATGGAGTGCAGGGGTGGGAGAAGGGGGACTAGGAGAGGAGTCCCTTTTTGCCTTACCCCTCCCCTGCAATGCAGGTAAGTATTCCCCTGGGACTTGTGCCTTTGATAATAACACATTACAACACCTGTCGGAGACACCCCATGTACAAACAAGTTGGGTAACAAACTATGGGTGAGTCAGCTTGAGAAAACACATCACCTTGTTCCCTGCTCAAAGAGGGGTGGATCTAGGAGGAGGGTGCAGAAGGTGTGCGACCCCCTCCCCTTGAGATGAAGCCTTCTTCCTTGTATTCGCTTTTAAAATTTGTTTCCCTCACCAGTCAGTTATGCTATTCGCTAGTGGTGCACCCTCCTAAAAAACACAATCCTGGATCCGCCCCTGTCAAGTTGTTTTCAAGCGCCAAACTGGGAAACTTCACGCTGATGATGTTACACTTAAAAATTATTGTCCTGGTTCCAGGACAATTCCTTTCCTTCTCCTTCAACAAGAAAATAAAGATCCAAGATGAGGAGTTGTAGATTGCAGCCACATGGAATTTTCAACCACATTGTTGTTAGATAACAGAGCAGAACTTAGGCTTGCAATGCGCATGATTAAAATATACATTAGATTAATATCCGACTCAAAACATTAGTTGGAACAGGCCAAGTTTTCACTTTGATGCAGCACACCTGATTATTATGTACACACAATATTCCAAATAACTTAAGTAACTTTCCTTCACAATCTTGTGTAATAACTTGTAACATATCTCTGCTTGTGGATTAAATATCTATAGAAGAATTTCATAAAATCCCTCAATAACAATTCTGTACAATTATTTTTGATAAATACTTTGAAATAATTTCTCAAATTGAAGACATTTTCATGCTCAATATTGCCTGTCTAAAAAGACATAAGATAATTTTTTTTTATAATTTGATAATTGTCCCAATTTTAATAAGGGCCCATGCAGTAAAACTGAAAAATAAAACATTTCTTTATGCCAAGATTCCTGGCAAATAAATTGAGATTTCCTTAAATCCTCACTTGCTTTGGTGGCAAAATAAATGCTCAAATCAGACTGCAAAACACTATCCAAAGCACTAGCAATCCCTTGTTTCCCTTCAAAGAATGGTGAAAATAACGTTAATAATATTCCAAGATCTCATCTCTAACCAGCTTCCTATTTCAGCCATCCTTTTCCATTCCCATTCCTTTGAACAACAAATATTCCACTTTTATGGAACTGTTTAGCACCAACGACAAGGTACTATTAATAGCACAATCTTATCCAACTTCGCTTATGGAAGTAAATGGTTTAAGGTAGTAAGGTGATGTTTGAATGATCGCTCCTTCTCATCCTTCACATTGTCACCACCAGTCTTGTACTCTTTACAACCAGAAATCCCCAAGTCATCCATAAATGAATCACGGACATGCAATCACCAATGATGATTTCAATTGTCTAGTTTCTTGAATACATAATTTCTTTCCATTCTTTGTCACCAACAGCTCATTCTTGATCCCTTGTCCTGCAAGGGATGTGTCAAAACTAAACTAAACATCAAATACTTGCACGTCTCTCAACTGGCCTGGTATGTCCCACTCATTCTGGACTTGCTGATTGATGTCAATTAAGAAAGACTCCTCAAAACACAATCTTGGTAGTCTTGCCTTGTTTAAACCATGTCATTGATAATTACGATTCATGAAGCATGTTCCCATGACTGCATTATGCATTAAATAATAATCCACACATGTACATTAAAATACTGAAATAAATAGCATCTTGCCAATGGGCACCTTGAATAATCTTGTAGGCGATAAATATTGATGTCTATTGAATTATCCACAGTCCATACTTGATAAATGACTAACAGACTAGACTTGTAATATAATATCATCTTCCCATGACCAGCATGAAGGAATTATATGATGCAACTGTTGTATGTTAATATTCACCACGGATTATTCATCAAAGATTGCTTCAAGGGCTATGTCACGTGTATCATCATCACTGCCTGTATATGTTGTCCAATAATGATGAAGTGTATGGTATACAAGTTCATACTGTAAATCTGTTTCCACCATTCCGCCCCTACAGATTTATAGAAATAAAAGTTAGTGTATGTTGCAGTTAATTGTACACTAAGAAATAGTTTCTACATCCGCAACTTGATGTAACCTAGAATCCTAGGGGAGATACTCCCCTCAAAAAACTGGTTGGTAGCATGTGACAATCTTCATGAAACCCTGACACTATTTCTTATAAAGCTGTTACATTTAAACAGATATTAATAACGCAGGAGAATATGAAGTTGTACAGGCACAGGTACAGTACTGACCTGTCTATTCTCATAAGGCTTACTATCTTGAGAATGTCCACAAGTCCTTCTCTCTAGTGGTGAAAGGAAAATGTTCACATTTCAGTGTACATGGTTGTAAGGACTGTTATCACCTTGTGTTACTGAAATAGCATACCTTCAACAAACAATTCAATTACCTTGTTACACGAAGTCTTTGTGACACGTTTACACACAATTTATTTCCTTGGCAAAGTTACGTTAACTAATAACATGTCCTTGAATTTAGCAAACCAACTTTATCAAAGGTACAATAATGTCAAAATTAAAAAAGAAAAACAATAGTGGGTCTATATGTCAACAGTAACATGTGAGTCACTTAATTTTCGCATAATGTTATGTTCGTGACACTTATTGTTTGCGTCACTTTCATTATGCCTTTTTTAAATCGCGAAATTTGCGAAATTAACAAGCTGCAAAAATTTCATGTAATAAGGTACCTGAGTTAATTACCAATAAGAAGAGCCACTTTTTCTATTCTTTGGAGCACGACAAGAAAGAAAGCCAAAGAGCGAGATCACACTACTGTTCGGTATTTTCCAACAAATTAGCTGGCGCAACAATAAAGTACAGCTTGTCAAACCCTTCAGATTTTACTTTAAAAAAACCTGATTTGACAGAATCCATAATGACACTTAAAACCCCAAACCCCAAAACATACCTTTATTTGCTCAATTCCTATACTAGCTGCAATGAAACAACCTGTTCTTCCAACCCCAGCACTGTAAGAAATAATATTCTCAGATTAAAATTAGTTTGTAATCCTCTGCAAGAAAAGAGATGGTAGTTGTACATTTTACCACAATACCATGCAAACCTTACACAGCCCATAAAGTACAAGCAAAGCCATATTTTTGCAATATTCATCCCTGCACTAACAACATTGTGTGTACATGCTAGGTTTGAAGATTTTAGTATTTTTCTGTAAGTTTTTAAGAGCACTGTTTAAGTTCTCATGCACTGAAAAATATGGTTAAATGCACCACTCACTCAAAATTCTCATTACCTTCTTTTAAAAGAAAGTCATTTACCCTGCGTAGCAAATGTTTCCATATGAATCAAAATGAAGAGGTTTTCCTCTCAGCTGCATTCTTGAGCGCCTGTGAGCAGGAATCTCCTTATTTGTGTGAGTCAAAATGTTTGCT